TCAGGAGATAGTGGAGCACTCAGAGCCGTGCAGGTAACCCAGCTGGACCGAGACACTGTTCTCATCACCTTGGAAAGTAAGTCCCCTCGCATATTGTGAATCCTTCAAATGTCTTTCGTGCTCATTCTCAATCTGTGTACCATTTGGACAGGAACTGTAAAGATCGTGAACCTGCAAGGACTTCCATCCAGACAGCTGGCTGCAGAAATAGTCTTTGACTTCCCTATTGAAACACTAGGTAGAAATAATGATGTGACAAACAGAGTGAATGAGAGCTGATGTGTGTCCTGAAAGCTGAGTGACACCTCCTGTTCTGTCAGTCTGCTTGCAGGATAGTGTGCTGGCGTTCTGGAAGCATAGCCTCAAAGGGAGGAGTTTCCATTCAGATGAGGTGATGAACTCATCCAACGTTGGCTGAGCTCGTATCATGTGCTTATCATATTTGTTCTAAGTCATTACACATGTGAATTTTCACTTTATGTGCAGGTAACACAAGAAATTACAGATGAGAGTCGTGTGTTCAGAGTTCTGGGAACAAACAGGTATGTTAACAGTATGCTGACAAGAGCTATCAATCACTGTGAGAAACTAGTAAACCTAGTACATCAGAAGTAATCAGGATATTATTTTTCTTGATACTATTGCTAATAGACCTGGAAGCGATTTTCAGAGTAGCATGTGGACGTAGCAAAGATAATGGAAGTTACCCGGAGTTTTCCACTGTGAAACCAGGAATAACAGCTTAAAAATGTTGTTGGATTTCTGTGATCTAAATCATTGTTAGCCTGGCAGGCAAATAGCATGGACACCAAAGTTTGTGAACGTGATAACCTGAGAACAAAGACATGTAGGATTTTAAATCGGTACAATGGGTGTGTCTACTGGGAGGCTGAGGCTTAGCGCTGGTGGCTGCCAGTACTAAGTATTATTATACAACTGTGCCAACCCTTATTTAGTTGATCTTATCTTCTTTTCTTGTGTTTCAGTTAATTTTTACTCAAACTGGGTGTAGAAGGAATCCTCGCAAAGGTTTCTTTTTCTTCTGTGTTATGTTTT